TTTCGGGATTAATTAAAATAGTGGGTTTCCTACCAATATTGAAAATATGGCTGGATTCCCCTTTATTAAAAAAACACTAGAGGGAGTTATGACTAATAGTCCCTTTAAATAAATCCAGCTCATTCAAATTTATTTGCAAATAAGGAAAATCATTTTATATATACCAAAATTACCATCAATTCATTGAAACTCAATCCAACTCCAATTTCATGATTTACACCACAATTTAGCCCAATTTCATCAATTAACCAATTTTAACCCTAATTTCAATTTTGACCCCAATTTTGACCCGCCACCACCTGAGACCGCCGGTCGTCGCCGTTGACCGGCGTTGACCGCCGGTCTCTGACGTTGACTTTTTTTTTTATATTTTTTTTTTAAAAAAATATTTTAATTAATATTACTGTCTTGGCTGCTAACTTACTGTCTCCAGCAGTTATTTAACTGTCGGAGACAGTAATTTAACTGTTAATTGACTTTTTTTTAAAAACATTTTAATAAATACTAGTCTCCAGCAGTTATTTAACTGTCGGAGACAGTAATTTAACTGTTAATTGACTTTTTTATTCTTAAAAAAAATTATATTACTGTATTCGTTGCTAAATTATTGTCTCCAGCAGTTATTTAACTGTCGGAGATAGTAATTTAACTGTTAATTGACTTTTTTTTTGAAATTTTTTTACTTAAAAAAAATATTTTAATTAATATTACTGCCTTGGCTGCTAAATTACTGTCTCCAACAGTAATTTAACTGTCTTAGATAATAATATTAATAATATTATTGTTCGGGAAAATAATATTCATAATATTATTGTCCCAAACACTAATATTACTGTCTGAGACAGTAATTTAGTATGCAAGACAGTGATATTAATTAAAATATTTTTTTCTACGATAACAAATAGGAGAAAATAAAATTTAGAGAGAAAAAAGAGATTTGTAGAGCGGGATTTGTGGGTGTGATTGAGAACGTAATATTAAGGGAACAAGTATTACATATATCTATATTCAACCCTAAGATACATTATAATAAGGTAAGGGTATAATTGTGATACTTAATTAATTTTTATTAATAAAATATATTTTGGATTTATTTTAAAAATAAGAAATAAATTTAGATTCATTGTAATTGCACTTATATATGATGAGGGCTTTTGGCAAATAATTCCTTAAATAAAATAAATAAAATTAATTTAACAAAGTCAAAACATTAAATTATATTGGGGCTATTTGACAAAACCCCTCCATTCAATTTTGACTTCTTAATAAATCTTTTTTTTTAATTGATATTTGTTATAAATTCAATTGACTCAAATTATCCAAAATGTCCCTATTTACTATTAGTCAAAGTTACCATATTATATTATTATGAAAAATCATTAAAAATAAATTAAGGGGAAATTGGCTAGACACCCCTAATTTTGGACTTATATAGGTGGAAATCCAAATTGTTAGATGAATATAGGTGTAGGTCCTTTGGCCAATATGATTAATATTAATTAAATTAAAATATTATTATATAGACACAAATACCCTTAATTAATATTTATATGAAATACTATTTTTGAAAATTATGGAGCAAATCCCACATATCACTCTCCTCACTCTCTCCTCTCCCCCCTCTTTCACTCTCCTCTCTCTCATCTCTCACGTCTATTTCTCTCTCTCTCTCTCTTTCCCAACTTTTTCATTTTTCTTATTTTTTATTCTACTTTTTAATTTTTTTCTGCATTTTTCTAATTGACTTGGATCAATAAACATTTACATTTCTTATTTTTTATTCTACTTTTTAATATTTTTATGCATTTTTCTAATTGACTTGGATCAATAAACATAAATGTAAAATAACAAAAATAATTTCAAACACATATTTAATGTTACAAAATTATTGTGTTATATTTTTTAGTATGATTTTATTACATACAATTTGTAAACTGCAAACAAAACGAAGTCAAAGTGGGCAACAACAATTTGTAAACTGCAAACAAAACGAAGTAAAACTGCAAACGACAAACACCCAAAATGACCTGGTACCCAAAACGACCTGGTACCCAAAACGACCTGGTAAAACGACCAAGAACCCAAAAATTGAACAGCAAATCGAAACTGCAAACGACCAAATCGAAACCGCAAACGATCAAGAACCCAAAATCGAAAACTGCAAACTGCAGCAAATCGAAAGGCTGCAAACGACCAAATCGAAAATTGGACAGCAAATCGAAACTGCAAACGACCAAATCGAAACTGCAA